AATCTTTGGGATGTTCCATCTAGGGATTCCTGTGAGAGGTCAAGATTCATGCAAGGACACTTTAGCAGATTGATGAGAGATCAGGAATCACCTGCAGTTTCTCTCACTGGAACTGAATGAGGCATCATGTTAAGACTCTCTCTGAGGTCTGAAAGCTTTAGGGGAATGGACCAGCCAAGGTAACTCTCAGTCATCTGCCTCACTTGCAGAGGAAAACAAAACTCTTCTGGATATTGTCAAACCATGGTGGGAAGGGGGGGTCACCTGGGGAGCTTCCTTTCATGTCCACTACTCACCCCCTTTCTCTCTTGTCTTTTTCCCCGACTCCTTTCAAAACCCTCAATGGCATGTGCTTGTCCTTATAGTGCTAAGCATTTCTTGGAGGGAAGGACAAAGCCATACTCAAGCATCAAAGTATCAACAAGATACAAACTCCAGAGGCAGAGAGGAGTTGAACCTTTGTACTCTATCCAGGGCAACCCGTGTCTGTACTACTGTGCTAATCAGTCAAAAGGCATTTATTAATAACATCTTCCTCCACTCCAACTATCAACCTCCCTAGCTTTCTTAAAGTTTCAACTAAAATCCCACTTCCTACAAGACACAGTAGTAAATTACTATAGTAATCTAGTGTTTGATAAACCCAGTGACCCCAGTTTTCGGGACAAAAATTCACTATTTGACAAAAACTGCTGGGAAAACTGGAAAATAGTATGACAGAAACTAGGTATAGACCAGCATCTCACACCACATACCAAGACATGGTCAAAATGGGTGTATGATTTAGACGTAAAGGGTGACACCATAAGTAAATTAGGACAGCGAGGAATAGTTTACCTGTCAGATCTATAGAGAAGGGTAAATTTTATGACCAAGTAAGAGATAGGGAACATTACTAGATGTGAAGTATATATAATTTTGACTATATTAAATTAAAAAGGGTTTGCACAAATAAAGCAGTGCAACCAAGATTAAAAGGGAAGCCAGAAAGCTGAGAAACAATATTTAGAACAAGTGTGTATGATAAAGGCCTCATTTGTCACATATATAGAGAGCTGAGTCAAATTTATAAGAACTCAAGTCGTTCCCCAAATGATGAATGGTCAAAGCATATGAACAGACAGTTTTCAGAGGAAGACATTAAAGCTATCTAAATTATTACTGATTAAAGAAATGCAAATTAAAACAATTCTAAGGTACCACCTCCCACCTATCAGATTGACTATATAACAGAAAAGCAAAATGATAAAAGTTGGAGGGGATGTGGGAAAATTGGGACACTAATAAATACACTGTTGGTGGTATATGAACCGATCCAATCATTTTCAAGAGCAATTAGGAACCATGCCCAAAGGGCTATAAAACTGTGCATACCCTTTGATTCAGCAATACCACTACTAGGTCTGTAACCCAAAGAGATTTTTAAAGAAAGGGAAAAGGATCTATCTGCACAAAAATATTTATAGCAGCTCTTTTTGGTAGTGGCAAGGAATTGGATGATGAATGGTTGAACATGTTGTGGCATATGATTGTAATAGAATAATATTGTGCTATAAGAAATGATGAGCTGATGGATTTCAGAAAAACCTGGAAAGACTTACATGAACTGATGCAAAGTGAAGCGAACAAAACCGGGAAAACATTCTACACAGTGACAGCAATGTTGTATGCTAATCTACTGTGAATGACTTAGCTATTCTCAGCAATACAATGACCCAAGACAATTCCAAAGGACTCATCATGAAAGATGCTGTTCATCTCTAGAGAAAGAACTGATGGAGTCTGAATGAAGATTGAAGCATACCATTTTTAAAAAAATTTTTGTTTTTTTTTCTTTGCTGTGTCTTTTTTCACAAGATGATAATATGAAAATATGATTTGTACGATTGATCAGCCACAGTCAGACACACTGTACCTTGACTCTTAACATGGTGATGTCATTTTGGTCCTCTTGGAGAACAAAGGACAACAATCCAATCATTTCCTATTTATCCTGTACGTAGCTTGCTTTGTGTTTATTTGTTTGCATGTTGTCTCCCACATTAGGTTGTAAACTCCTTGAAGGCAAGGACTGTTTTTTTGCCTCTTTTTGTATCCCCAGGGCTTAGCACATGGTAGGTGCTTAATTGATCTGTATTAAATTGAATTGAACTTACTATGTTGGTCTCTACCCTCAAGAAGTTCACATTCTAATGGGAGAGACAACAAAAAACACCTATTTTTATACAAGATATATACAGAGTAGATAGAAGGTCATAATAAAGGCACTAGGAAGTGGGGAGGCTAAGGTGGGGGGACATACTAGGAAGGGCCTCTTAAGAGCAGAAGGTGGGATTTGAGCTGAATCTTAAAGAAGCCAAGGAATAGGAGGAAAAGGTGAGGGGAGCAAGCATTCCAGGTGAGAGAAATGATCACCTTTTTCTTATATTACTAACCAATTCTTAAATTAGGATTAAGGTTTTTCCTTTCTATTTCCTCATTCAGGGACCAGCCCCTATGTAGGTCATTTAGCCAGTCTCTGAAGGACATTGCTGATAGATGAGATTGCCTAAATCCTCTAGCTACATGTTTCTAGATCTTGGGGGGACCCCACTCAACTTGAAGACCTTACAAACAGAATTCAGTCTAGGTGAGTTCTTGCCTTTAGAAAATAAGCCCCTGTCCTTGGAACCTTCTTTAGAAGTTAGGGTGACCCAGCTTATGAAGGAGAAAACAAACCAGAGTGGTCGGGTAAAGATGGACTCTTATCCAGATTGCTGGAGGTGGGAGTCCCATGATCAAGTCATGTTCTCAGCAGGAGGAGCTGAAGACTTTTAGCCCACCTTCTCACTTAAGGATAGGTTGGAATTCAAAGATAAACAGATGAAGAGGGGGTGGGGAGGATATTCCCAGAATAGGCAACAGTGTGAGTAGATAGAAATGGATCACATGTGGCCATTGACCAGGTCAACATATGATGTTTTAACTATGGGTGTCCCTTAAGACACTGTCCTGTGTCTTCTATATCTCTCCCTCTCTACCCTTTTACTTGGTGATCTCATCAGCCCCCATGGATTCAATGAACACCTCTGTGTAGATATTCCTCAACTCATTTATCCTGCTGTAATCACTTTCCTGACTTCCAGTCTCATGTCTCCAATTGCCTATTGGCCATCTCAAACAGGATGACCACAGACATTTTAAGTTCAACATTTCCAAAACATAACTAATCATCTTTCTGCTAAACCACTCCCATTTCTCCAAACTTCCCTTGTACTTTGGAGAAACCACCATCCTTTCAGTTACCTAGGCTGACTAACCAGGTGTCATGAAGGACTCCTCAATCTCTCTCATCCCTCATGTCTAAGTCTTTGTCATTTGTTACTGTCAAGTCTTGTCAATTCTACCTCTGCACTATATCTCACGTGGTCTCCCACTTTCCCTTGACATTGCCACCCCCTTGGCACAGATCCTTATCCCCTCAAATATGGACAATTGCAAAAGATTCTGGTTGGTTTCCCTGCCTCAAGTCTCTCCCCGTTCCAGTTCATTTTCCACTTAGCTACCAAAGTGATCTTCCTATATTAGCCCCACCCCTAAATTCAATAAACTGCAGGCTTCCTATTATCTCCAGGATGAAATATAAAATCCTATTTGCCTTTCAAAGCCCTCCATAACCTGTTCCCTTTTTACCTTTCTAGTCTTCTTACACTTTACTCCCTCTCTACAAACCAATGACACAGACCTCTTTGATGTTCTTCAAAGGAAACACTGCATCTTTGGACTCCATGCATTTTTACTGGCTGTCTCTCATGTTTGTATTTCTCTCCCTCCTCATCTATCCCTGGTTTCCTTGGCTTCCTTTAATTTGAAATTTGAAAAATTTGCATTTGAATGTTTGAAAAGTTCTACATTCTGCAAGTAGCCTTTCCTCCCCTGCCCCAATTCCTTCCCTCTGAGGTTACTCCCTTTTCCTTGTGTATATCTTCTTTGCATGTAGTTGTTTGCAGGTGGTCTCCCCCGTTAGATTGTAAGCTCCCCGACAGGAGGTAATGTTTTTGCTTTTCTTTGTATCCCCAGCACTTAGCTCAGTTTCTGAGACATTCTAGGCACCTAACAAATGCTTACTGACTGAGTGACTGAGGTGTTATACGTATCACCATAAAGTATATTTTGTGTATGTAAGGTAGACTTTGTATGAAATCTCAATGTGCGATGTACTCTATTTTTGTGTAACCTTCATAGTATATATCTTCTGTATGTGATGCTGTTATATGATGTTATATGTAGTATGTTTCTGCCTGTGACTCTTATGTTTGGCCTACTGAATACAAGACTAATTTAACATACATACTCCATATCTACATGTGACTTATGAATCTGGAGTAATTGCCTTTGATTGTGGCATAAGCAGGTTAATAGATGCCTTGGACTTTCTTCTCAGCCTTTCTCTTTATGCTTTTTTGTCTTATCAACTCCCATGAATCCAATTATCATTTTAAAGCTGATGACTCCTAGATCTCTATAGCCAGCCCTTTTCTTCTCTCTTGATCTCCAATTATGCATGACCTGTTAAAAATATGTGATGGACATTTTTAACTTGATGTCCTATGGACATCTCAAACTCAACATGTCCAAAACAGAAACTTATTTTCACTTACTTTTGTGTTAACAAAGAACTGGAAACAAAGTAAATTTCCTTCAACTGGGGAGTAGCTAAACAACTTGTGGCACGTGAACACAAAGGGCTATTATTGTGATGTAAGAAAAGATGACTAGGAAGAGTACAAGGAAGCATTAGAAGACTTATATGAACTGATGTAGAATGAAGTCAGCAGAACCCGGAAAACAATATACACAATGATTATAAGAATGTAATGGAAAGAGAAAAAAAAAGCTACCGGATCTTCTCGACACCACCCTGCACTGCCTCTGTAATGGAGAGTTCCTCTTATATACCTTGGGAGCAGTTGCTATACAGTGGAAAGAGTGCATTTTGAGCCTGAGGACCTGGATTCGAGTTCAGTTCAATTCAATCGGTATTTATTGATTGCCTACTATTTTTCAGATGCTGGGGAAAAAAAGACAAAAGCAAGAGTCTGTGCCTTCAAGAGCTTGTGTTCCTATGTTCTGAATCTTGGTTCTGTCAGTTACCAGTCATGGGAGCTTGGCTATTCCATTTGCTATCTAAGTGCTCTTTCTAACAGATCATGGGTTCAAAGTAAAAATGCACTGATGGCGGATCTCAGGCACTGTGGCTGGGGGAGAAGCTCTAGGGTGGGGACTGGGGGCAGGCAGGCTTCTCTATCTAGGCCACTCAAATCACTAAGTCTGAGTTCAAAGAGGTCATTATGTTTTGACTAATCTTAAAAGAAACCCTAACAAACAAGAGTGGATTGTGTGTGAAAAGAGTTTTAATACTTTTCCTAGGCTCCTATATTCAGATTTCTATGCAAGCCCCTGATTAATTAATCTTCAGTTCCCACCTGCTTAATTTCTCAGCTCTTGGATCCTCTGTTGGGTGTGAAGCAGAAAAGAAAAGCATTTTCCCTGTCCTGGAGATGCTTGCAATCCCTAGCCATGGCCAATGTCATGAACCAGAAAGAATAACTAGCAAGCTCATTGAATTGGGCTTCTGTTTGCTCTCAGATTTCAAAGGCTAACTAGGATTATTGTGAGCCACCTTGGTTTCAGAATTCCAGATATTTCTATATGATAGGGTTGGCCTTGTTTTTCTCCCTGGTGACAAATGTAAAAGGTATGAAATTCAAACATATTTGTGAAAATGCAGTAGTTTCGGGTGTCAGGTTTCTCATTGATTTCCTTTCTCTCTAGCATTCTTTCCTGACAACACAAGCAATGTTTCTCTCTCAGACCAGAGGTTCCCCCAGGACAAAAAACCTTGTCTTCCCCTCAGATTGGCTGCTTCTTGACTAGGCTCCCTTTGAGGAAAAGGGCCATGATTTCCTGGCAGAGCAATCCGGAGCATCCAGGAAATGGCCAGATCTTTTTCTTCCATCCCTTCCTTCCCTCCCCCCACCATGATCTAGTGCCTTCATCTCTGGCAGCTGGTATAAATCCCTAGGTTCAGGCTTTCAGGGATGGACAGGGATTATTTAAAGTGAGTAGCAGTCTGACCCTGACCTCCTCTACCCTCATCAGCCAGCACTGAGCAGGACAGACAGGAATCCAGTCAGGATAAGACCAGACCCTTGGGGCACAGGGGCACCATTGCCAACACAGCGGTCAGTGTTGCAACAGAGTATGGGCTGATATTCTCCAATGGCATCAGGATCTGTGGGGACACAGGAGGCCACACACTCTCGCTGAACCGTCTTCTCCTCCATGAAGGGATAACCTGAAAAATCCCACAGGGGAGAAGAGTGAGATAAGGTCCCAGTCCATCCTTTGCTGCTTTCATCTGGACTTTCATATTCCTATCTTCTGTGGCATGAATAACACCAGAGATATTCCGAGCCATAATAATCAAAAAATCCTAGATTCACACACACACACACACACACACACACACACACACACACACACACACACACACAGAGGAAGGGACCTCCGAGGTCATTTAATCCAACTTCCTCATTTTACAAATAAGAAAACTGAGACACAGAGAGAGGAAGTGATTTGTCCATGGTCACACAGGTGGTAAGAATAGAGCTGGGATTCAAATCATGGTCCTCCAGCTCAGCCCTTTCTTTCTTTCTTTCCTTTTTTTTTTTTTTTTTGGCTAGGCAATGGGGTTAAGTGACTTGCCCAGGATCACACAGCTAGTAAGTGTTATGTGTCTGAGGCTGGATTTGAACTCAGGTCCTCCTGAATTCAGAGCCAGTGCTCTATCCACTGCGCCACCTAGCTGCCCCCCTTCCTTGCTTTCTCATAGCCATTCACGCTAACACAGAGAATTCTGGATCTCAGTTTTAGAATGGACTTCAGAAATCAAATCTTGTCTTCCTTAGCAGGGCATATATACTTGATGAGGAGGCAGCCAGCTTCTGCCAGAATACCTGCAGTGACATGGAGCTTACTACTTTCTGAGGCAGTCTATCCCATGGCGGAACAGCTCTCATTGTTGAAAAGTTCTTTCTTATATTGAAGTGGGGGTGGGGAGAAAATAGAAGAAAGCTAGGAATTAGGACTAGGATTTAGGAGATCTGGGGTTCTATTCTCAAAGACATCCCTGTCTTGCTGTGTGACCTTGTTCAGGTCATGGCCCCTCTCTAGGTCTCTAGGCCCCTCCATCAATAAAATAAGTCATTGAATGACTACCATTCTGTGAACATATGAGCTGAAATTTGGCCCCATTTATCTTCACTCTCCCTCTCTTGAGGTCCACTACAGGTTTAAACCTATGACCTAACATAGCTTGGAGTCACAGATTTAGACCTGGAAATCTCCTTAGAGATCAATCAATCAGCAGGTATTTATTAAGCAATTACTATGTGCTGGGCACTACACAGGTACCAGGTGCCCAAATATAATGAAACAGTTCCTGCTCACAAATGCTCAGAGATTTGGTTGGTGCATTTGCAAACAGACACCTGGGAGCTGGCTGTTTACAAGGTAACCAGGGGGCCCCATCACTGGCTGCTCTGTCCCCCAGAGTAAGGTCCCTCTGACCCCGTGCTTTAATCTTCCTTTGCTTTCAGAGGCCCTGGGATCTTCCCAGCTACCTCCTGGCCTTACCTGTTTGCAGAGACAGCAGTGTAGTTTTACACCATCCCTCTGTGGCTGAACAGTTGGTTACATTAGTACAGAGAGACAAGGCTGTGGGCTTGGAGCAGGAGAAGCAGCTCAGGGAACCACCTGCAATGCAGAGGCATTCTCAATACACACACACACACACACACACACACACACACACACAGAGGCACACATAGACCTACACGGACAGATACACAAAGTATAAACCCTGAGAGAGAGAGAAATAAACATAGATATAGGCACCGAAAGAGGCCCAGAACCCCAGTCTCAGACACAGAGATAAGAATAGGTAGTGTGGACACTGTGCTCAATATGGGTTCGAATCCCACCACAGGCACTAAATAGCTATGTGATCTTGAAGAACACTCTTAACCTCTCTGTGCCCTCAGATTTCTCAATGGTAAAACAACCTGGTTAGACTCAATGGCCTCTAAAAGCCCTCCGGGTCCTAAATCTATAATCCTAAAACACATCCTTGGACCACAGACTCAGAACTGAATGGTCTCAGAGGTCATAGAATCCAACACCCTCATTACACAAAAGGTGTTGAGGTCTAGAGAGGGGAAATGACAAGTATTTAGCTTGAACCCTGGTTTTCTGACTCTCCAGGCTCCTTTCCACCATTCTATGGTACTGGTTCAGTCACATTCAGACAAACAGTGACGTATGCAGACATATACACAGAGTCACACTGACATGTGCTTACACATACATACATGCATTTATACATACACCTATGGCACAGAAAGATAGACACAAATATACCAACAGACACGTAATCATGAAACCACACAAATACATACACAATTGATGCTGATGGTAGATGTGTGTGACTGCTGCTTTGTTCGATTAACTCCCATTCATGAAGGACAGAAGGGGTAGACTTAACACCAGGGATGCCTCTGGAGCTAAGCCCCTTAGTAACTCCTGCTTGGGATCCCAGCACTAACAGAGTCTTACATGAAAGAGACTGTACTAGCCCTCCCAGGATAGGAACAGACTTCAGACCCTTGAGTTCTCTTCAATTCCATACCAACTTCCAGGGATTTCCCTCCTTCCCAGAAGGTCTCCTTGTCTAGTGTGGCAGAGGACCCCCTACAGAAGAACTGATTTTGAATCCAAGGTCTTTTACCTATTATCCTAATAACCTGGGGCAAGATGGTTAACCTTTCTGGGTTTTAACTTACTTATCTATTAAAGAAGGAATAAGATTAGATTACTGTTTTAGGTCCCTTAAAGCTCTAATATCCCTGAATGTAAAAGCACTTATTGTAATGCTAAGTAGTGGAGATTTCAAAACCAGTGCCTACAGGTGGGAAGACCTGAGTCCAAATCCAGCCTCAGATGCTTACTAGCTATGTGACCAGGCAAGTCACTTAACCTCCCTCAGCCTCAGTTTCTTCATCTGTAAAATGGGGAGAATAATACCACCTGCCTCTCAAGGGTGGTTGTGAGGATAAAATGAGATAATAACTATAAAGCACTTAGCACAGTGCCAAGCACATAGTATGTACTATAGAAATGTTAGATGTTATTATCTAAAGGAGCTCATATTTTAATGGAGGGAGACAATACCTATAGGATGGAAAGATCCAGTGATCCTTAGGGTGAGCAGTAAAGATGATAGTACATCTACTTTTTAATTTAACATTTATTTTATTTATTTTTTGGCTATATTTTGAGTTCCAAGTTGTTACCCTCCCACCTCCCAACCCCCCACCCAAAAGTAGGCCAGCATTTGAAACACACACACACACACACACACACACACACTATGAAACCCTATAGTACATATGTCAGTTCCTTCTCTTGAGGTGGATAGCATCTTCCTTCATAGGTCCTTTGTAGTTGATTAGAATATTCATATTACTCAGAATACCTTAGTCATTCACAGTTACTCTTGGAACATTATTGCCTTTACTGTATACAACATTTTCTTGGTTCTGCTCATTTCACTCTTCATTATTTCATCAAGTTTTTCCATGTTTTTCTAAAATCAACCTGCTTATCATTTCTTACAGCACAGTGGTATTCCATCACAATCATAGACAGACATGCCCCAATTGATGGGCATCTCCTCAATTTCTAGTTCTTTGCCACCATAACAAAGAGCTGCTATAAGTATTTTAGAACATATATGTTCTTTTCCTTTTTCCCCTGATCACCTTGGGAAATAGACCTACTAGTGGTATTTCTGGGTCAAAGGAAATACACAGCTTTATAACTCATTGGGCATAGTTCCATATTGCTCTCCAAAATGGTTGGATGAGTTCATAGTTCCACCAACAATGTATTGGTATCCCAATTTTTCCACATTCTCTCCAGCATTTGTCATTTTCTCTTTCTGTCATTTCAGCATATCTGATAGGTGTGAGATGGTACCTCAAGGTTGTTTTAATTTGCATTTCTCTCATCAATAATGATTTACAACAGGGCATCTTAAACTTTTTCCACTTGTAATCCCTTCAGCACTTTTTCATATGACTATATATAGCTTTGAATTTTTCTTCCAAAAGCTGCTTATTCATATCCTTTGACCATTTATCAATTAGGGAAATGATTCATATTCTTATAAATTTGACTCAGTTCTCTATATATTTGAGATGTGAAATTTTTATCTGAGAAACTGTTTATAAATTGCTGTTTTTTCTCAATTTTGTTTTCCTTCTAATCTCTTGGCTACATTGATTTTATTTGTACAAATCCTTTTTAATTTGATATAATCAAAATTACTCATTTTACATTCCATGGTGCTATCTCTTATTTATTCATAAATTCTTCTTCCTATCCATACATCTGATAGGCAATATGTTCCATATTTTTTAATTTACTTATAATTACTCCCTTTATGTCTGGGTCATGTATCCATTTTGACCTTGTCTTGGTCTATACCTAGCTTCAGCCAGATTGCTTTCCAGTCTTCCCAGAATTAATCTTCTTTAGTCTCATTTCTAACTTGAGATTGGGTTATGAACCATTTTCTTCCATCTCCCTAAGACTCCCCAAGGGGTAGTTTCTAAGGTACTGGACATGTCCAGACTCTACCTGTCTTCTCCATGAACTTATAGGCTTTGATTCTGACCCTTCTCAGCCCCCATCTCTTCAGAAAGGGCAGGCTTACTTTTTTAGTCTATCCTCACAAGAATGATTCCCATTTGATCTCTATGTTGGCTAAACTGAACTGAAGCATCTGTCTTGTTTGCCCTGAGTTCTGATGCACGGTACGGGAGACAGGAGGAGGAAAAGTCCCTGTACCTGGGGAGAACTCCACGAGGGAGGCAGGACTTAATACACTTAATACACAAGAAATTGTGTAGTTCAGGTGCTAATAAAGGGAGAGATCAGCTTAGACTAGAGACAGCTGGGGAAGATGAGAAAAACATGGAGTGAGACCGGAGCTGAACCTTGAAGGATAGGGAGATTTGGGTCAGAGAAAGAAAAGGGGGAAAGGCTTTCAGGCAAGGGAACAGTCTGGGCAGTGGTGCATGTATGAGGATCTTAGGATTTAGGGTTGGATGAGACCTTAGAAACCATCTAGTACAACCAACTCATTACACAGAGGAGGAAACTGAGGCCCAGAGAGAAGAACATGGTGGCCCAAGGTCACAAATACTCCAAATCCGGTTCTCTTTTCAAACAAATCTAAGTAGAGTGGAGGGTGCATGTTAGGAGCAAGGGAAAGAAGAAATTAGAATTCTAGTCATTGGCTCCCTGTAACCTCATGTAAGTCACTTCTTTTCTAGGAATAGATGGTCTTCAAGGCCATTTCTGGCTCTAGCATTGTATGTTCTAAGATACCTTCGGTCTAAGAGGTCTGTAAAGCCTTGAGCATAAGGCCAAGAAGGACAGAAAGTTTCTCCAGCCTCTTCTGGACTTTGCCTGGTGCCATGATGCCGGTCCAGAGGAAGAGAGACCTGAAGGAAGACCTTTTCTAGACTACAGAATTCCCTTTCCTCCTCTTCTCACCCCAATCCCTCCATTATAATGCCTTTGAGGGTGGGGGTTATTTCTTTTATTTTTTCAGTGTATGCCCAGGGCCTTACTCAGTAATGTACACAGAGTAGGTGCTGACTATCAAATTAAAACCTGTTGTTCCATATATGTAATTTGCTTATCCGATCCAGCCACCTGGCAGGCCTGTCTGCCCCCTTCTGGCCAAGCTCTTTTATGCCTGACCAGATGCTCCAGCTCTGACAAAAGTAAATTCTTTTTCCCCGCAGTCAGAGCTGAATGGGACCTCTGAGATCATTTAGTCTACCTTGAACAGACAAGAAACCAAGGCCTTGAAAGAACAAAAGAATCTTAACTAGAAGCAGGAGTATAGTGGTAAATGTTTAACAAGTTGTTCTCTGGGGAGAGAAAGAAAGCATGTACAACATACTTTTAAGTATTATCTGCATTATTAACATTTTTCCCATGACCTTCTTAAGTCTAGACCAGGGGTGGGTGAGGAACCTGCAGCCTTGAGGCCACATGTGGACTTCTAGATCTTCTGTGCAGCCTTTTGACCTAGTCCAAGTTTTATAGAACAAATCTTTTTATTAAGGGGATTTGTTCTGTGATGTTTGGATTCAGTCAAAGGGCTGAACTTGAGGACCTAGAGGGCCACATTTGGCCTGGAGGCCAAAGGTTCCCTACCCCTGATAGACAATCGATACAACAGCATATCAAGGGCTGATTTCCAGCTTTCCCAATTCCTGAGGTGTGAATGCTCATACTCAAAATTTAACAAGCAGTCCCAGTTAGTTTCAGCCTACCCCTTCTAATTTTCATGCTAAAAGTTATATTAAAAAGATATTACAACATGAAAAAGCCAAAGATGCTTCTTCTTTTAACAATAAAGAAAAGGTCTACTTTAGAGAGTTTTTTAAAATATGCATCCCTTATACATTTAATGAATGCGTATACTATACTGGATATTCTTATCCCTATACTTTCCCTTCTCTTGATTCCTAAAGGATTCATGCATCAAAGAGAATAGCAATTGTGTTAACTTCCAAGAAGGGACCTAGAGCATTACGTAAATCAGTCCCTGAGCAAGAATCCTTTCTGCAATACTTCAACTATACCAGGTCATATAGCTTTAGCTTCAATCAATCAATCAACCAGAAAACATATTAAGCCCCTACAAGTAGCCACACAGGGCAGCTAGATGGCACAGTGGATGGAGCACTGGGCTTGGAATTTGTGTTCATGCGTTCAAATCCAGCCTCAGACACTTACTAGGTGTGTGACTCTGGGCAAGTCACTTAACCCTGTTTGTCTCAGTTTCCTCATCTGTAAAATGAGCTGGAGAAGGAAATAGAAAACCACTCCAGTATCTCTGCCAAGAAAACCCCAAATAGGGTCATGAAGAGTGTGACATGACTGAAACGAAAGAACAACCACAAATAAATTACCAGGCACTGGGTTATGTACTAAGCATACAAAATAATAAACGAAACAGTCCTTATTAGCAAGGAATTTACCTTCCAGTGACGAGGACTGCTGTCTCTCAGCCAGTCTGTTCTATTGTGGGACAGCTTTACTTATTAGAAAGTTTTTCCTCCCATTGAACCAAAAGTTCCTGCCTGTAATTTCATCCCATTGGCCTTCATCCATCATTGGCCGTCACCTGGGTCCAAGCTGAACAAATCTAATCTCTCTGTTCTGTGACAGTCCTTCTGATATCTGTGGTCAGCTTTCATGCCCAAGTCTTCTCTTCCAAGGTCTTCTCTTCCCACTTTTTTTTTGGGGGGGGGCTAGGCAATGGGGTTAAGTGACTTCCTCAGGGTCACACAGCTAATAAGAGTTATGTGTCTGAGGCCAGATTTGAACTCAGGTCTTCCAGAATGCAGGGCCAGTGCTCTATCCACCGCACCACCTAGCTGCCCCCCACTTTTTTCAATTGATTCTCACATGACACGGTCTCCTCCTTTCATCACCGTTGCTTGACCTTTTCTGAATGGGATTGAGCTGGTCAGGAGCTGTGGCCTCTCATTCATTAAAAATTTATGTAATTAGCATTCCCCAGTGTGTGTTGGGTCCTTTGCTCAGCAAGATGTGGGGAAGATACATGGAAAAAGGAACCTGAGGCTAGCCGTCCAAGAATTCTTGGTCTGGCTGTAGAAAACAAAATCACCCAAGAAGACTGATTATGATACCTCTGAGTCCTCAGCTTCAGGTAGTCAGTAGAGAAAAGAAAATAAGTGACCTCTATTGGCATGATTTGGAAAGGCTTTCTGAAGGAGGTGACAGAATCATGAGACCTGGGTTCCAATGTCAGCTTTCCTAGTTAATGGCCATGTAACTAAAGATAACAAGTCTTTCAGAGCCTCAGTTTCCTCATCTGCAAAATGAGCACAATGCCTGTACCATCTCCCTTATAAGGCTGTAGGGAAAGTACTTTTTATACACCAAGGTGCTATAAAATTGTAGTTATTATAACTATTATCATTTAAGGAGGGACAGGACTGAAGGCAGTCTGTAATGGACAGATTTGGTAATGGGCAATGGATAGAGTTGGCTTGGAGTCTGGAAGACCTGAATTCAAATTCCCTCTCTGATACATCTTAATTATGTGACCTTGGATAAAAGAATTTAACTTCTCAGTGCCCCAGGCAGCTCTCTAGGACTTACCCAGAACTTCATTGGTTGAAAGAGTTTCAGTAATAATAATAAAAATGGCATTTATATAGGACTTTAAAGTTTTTTCAGTTGTGTCTGACTCTTCGTGACCCCATTTGGGTTTTCTTGGCAAAGATACTAGAGTGGCTTGCCATTTCCTTCTCCAGATAATTTTACAGAGAAGCAACTAAGGCAAACAGGGTTCAGTGACTTGCCAGGGTCATATAGCTAATAAGGTCTGAGGCCAGATTTGAACTCACGAAGATGAGTCTTCCTGATGTCAGGCTTGGTGCTCAATCCACTGTGCCACCTAGCTGCCTCTAAAGTTTGCAGTAACTAAAAATTTGACCTTATTTTATCTTCATAACAGTCCTGGGAAGTAGGTGCTATTATCATCCCCATTTTACACATGAGGAAACTGAAGTTGAAGGAGGTTAAGTGACTTTTCCAGGGTCACACACCAGTAAGTGTCTGAGGCAAAATCTGAACTCTTCAGGTCTTCCTGACTCCAAGTCTGGTACTCTCTGTACTGTTTACCACCCAGTACTGGTCTTGTTCCAAAAAAGGATTGGGATAAACATGGAGGACAGAAGTTAATGGTTATAAGAAAAGTCTGGATATATGCCAGGGACTTTGCTTTTGTTGTTGAGTCATGCCCAATTCTTCATGGCCCTGTGGACCATACTGTCCATCCTCCAAAGAGACTGAAGTAATTTGTCTGAGTAAGCGTCGGAGGCCAGATTTAAACTCAGGTCTTCCTGACTCTAGGCCCAGTGCTCTATCCACTAAGCCACCCAGCTGCCCCTGGGTACGTGCCAAAGATAACTCTTGGTAACATGGGCTTAGCTGTTCTGCCCACGAGTTGCTGAGTTCCTATGAGTGCTTGGGTTTTTTTGCTCAAGTCTTGGTAAACAGAGGATAGAGACTGGGAAGGCTTTGGCCAGGAGTCCATCCCTAGTCCTGGTTTTTCTCTTCCTGGCTTGTTCTGGGCCTGATGTTCCCTAGAATCCCAGTTGGAGGAAGGGCCATGTGACATAGAAGAAGGGGCCTGGGCTTGGAATTCAAAGACCTGGGCTCCAGTGTGGCTTTGTGACTTACTTGCCTGTGTGTTGGTGTGGGACAAGCCATTTGTGTAATGGAGAGGGGTTGGCTGGGCAAGATTATCTCTTTTTCAACTCTAAAATTCGATCCCCTTACAAAGGACCCGCTCAAAACATACTGTCACCAGGAAGTCTTCCCTAATTTCCCATCTCTCTGAGTCCTAAAGACCTTACCTTCACTTTGGCAGTTCACTAATACTCTGTAATGCCTTGCTTTCGGTTTCCTGTTTGTGAATCATCTCTCCAATCCAGACCAAGCCTCTCTCCCACAGTGGGGACAAATAGGAAAAGGGGGAACGGATATGGGAAAGTAGAGGAAGGTAGAGGAAGACTAGATGAATTGACCTATGATATCAGTGGTTTGCTCTGCCAAGTTTTGTCTATACCAGGGTGATCCTGGGACTGCTGCCCCTTTGCTCTCCTATACTCCAGACATCCTTCCTCCCCAACCACAAAGAGTGCCTTTGCTTCCCTCACTGCTATGCCCTTCTACCCCATCCCTGACCCCAGAACACACACATACACACACACACACACACACACACACACACACACACACCACAGAGCCTTCATTTATCCACTTAGAATCATTAGAATCACAGTATATCATAGCCAGGGGTTCTTACCCTGGAGTCTGTGAACTCTTTTTTTTTTTTTTAATATTTTGATAACCATAATTCAATCTAATTTGTTTGCAATCCCCTGTATTTTGTGAATTTAAAAGCATCATTCTGAGGAGTCCATACATTTCATTGGACTGCCAAAGAAATTCATGACACTAAAAAGATTAAGAACCCTTAACATAATCTGTAAGGGACGGAAGATGTATTAGAACATTAGACCTGAGAAGCACCGTAGAATAAAGAACATTGAACATCTGAGTTGGAAGGGGTATTAGACATAAAATATTAGAGGTGGAAATGCCTTAGAACACAGAGTAATAGCGCTGGAAGGGTTCTCACTTAGGACATCGAGTATCAGAGTGTGAAGGACGTTTGGAACACTGAATGTCAGAGCTGGAAGGCAAGTTAGGACATAGAACTGGAAGGAAACCTAGAACACAAAATGAACTGGAAGGAACGTTAGAGATTATCTAGGTGTACTGATTCCTGAGTCCAGGGGTCTTTCTTTCAACTCCAAGGACCTCAAGAAAGTAACAATTAGGAGAATTCCCAGGGGTGAGTCCTAAGGGGGTGAGGGTCTTAGATGAAGGCATCAGATCACAGATGAATCTAATCTTTCTCCTAGATGGTACTGGGTCTAAAACCAACCCCACCCCAGAAGGACCTTGAGTCCTGACACCAATATTTGGCAGCCTGTCCCTGTTCCCCTATCCTACCCCACCCCCATTAGGGACTGCGCTTTTTAAAATAACTACACATACAAACTTGCTCTGAATCACTACTGCGAATGTGGATGGGTCAGTACATGCTATCACACTGTCCCTGTCCCTGCTCCTAAGTGGGAAAAATTTTTGACCTTGTTGACACAGGAATCCTGCTAAACCACTAATTTGTAGGGTAAGCGATTGGATTGCCTGAACTCTAGGGTCACTTCCTGCTGTCCATCTATACTGTGACCTATTCCTCAGGGCCTCAAAGGGCTTCCAGCCTGAATGAGGATAACTTAGAGGACACAATCTTTAGACAGAGCAATTAAAATAAAAAAACAGTATGTAAGTTGCATATTTGTTACACATACATGCCCAGGGTCTAGACATGCTTGGTGGCAGGAGGGTCAGGGCTGGAGAAAACCAGTGAAGGCTCTCCATCCAATATAGGAACTCTGCCAAAGGAAGGTTTAATCCTCAGTCCTCAGCCTGTCATTCTTCCCCTAAGGAGAAGTTACCTTGAAGGACTGTTGTGCCCATCTTCTCTGCTCAGCTCCTTTCAACCTAGTGGAAAGGGGCAGGGGTTATCAAGGCTGGGGATAGAATAGCTGAACCTTAGACTCTTGGAATCACAGAGGTTGAGAATCTTAGGCTCCAAGAACCCCAGTATTGCAGAGTGGATAGCAGGGTACAGATCACTACCAGTAGAACTTTAAGCTCTCCGCTGGACACCGCCCCCACCCCCACTCCTGGCTGGCCATAGAGTCTGCTTATCACCCAGTGGCTGGAAGCTCATTTCCTTTCCAAACAGCCTACTCCACAGTGGGACAGCTCAGATTGTTAGAAAATCCTTCCTGAAAACAAACAAACAAACAAAACGGGCTCCCGGAGGATTTGGAGAAAACTAATTAGATTGAGGGAATTTAGCTGCTCCTGCCCAGGAAGGTCATCTCCCCACCCCACCCCATCCTTAGGCAGGTCAGTGCCAGGATCTCAGGAAGCAAAAACCCTTCCCTCCCCACCTCCTTGGAGCTGGCACACGGCTGAAGAGGATTAGGTGGAGTTTCTAAGGGCTCCCAGTCACTCCTGATGGTCGCCCCTCCCCACATCTCCTTGCGGAGGTGAGTAGCTACTCACCTAGGGGCAGGGCGGCCGCAGCCAGCAGAAGGACAGCCAGGACACGCCTAGGCATGGTGCACAAGGAAGCTGGGGTGGGGATGAGGGGTCCAGAGGGTCCTCGGGGAAGGAGTTTGTGTGGGTAAAGAGGGAAAGCCTGCTAGGTGGGAGGGCAGGGACTGGAAAGGCAGAACTCTCGGGGAACGAGGAGCTGGCGGGAGAGAAGGGGAGAGCGAGCACGATGCTCTGGGAAGCTTGGGTGGGTTACTGGGAGGGCACAGGTAAGTAGCCCAGTGGGGTGTGGGCTGGGCGGGGACTCGAGTGCTAGGAGGGTGCAGGGAGCGCAGACCCGTAAGATGAGCAGTCAAGCATGGAGAAGCCTCAGAGGTGGGGAGGGGGCTGCGGGGGGGGGGGCGGGGAGCAGAGGTGGTGAGGGAAGAGGCACAAGAAGGCAGAAGGGATGGGGTTGGGGAGCTTAGGGAGCAGGAAGGGGTGGGGGTGGGGAGGAGGGGCGGATGAGATTGGGGATCACTGGGGAAAGAAAGGGAGGGTGAGAGAGTATATTCTGTACTTCCTGATCTCCTGGGATCATTCACTGAAAGCCAGAATGGACTAAAGCAGTCATTTAATCCCACCCTCCTCATTCCACAGAGAAGGAAATTGAGGCCCAAAGTGAATTGCTCAGGGTCACATAGCTACGTATTACTGCTGGACTGACACCTCCCCCTCCCCTGGCCCAGCTCTCCTCCCGCTGCATGGGCGTGACCTTAGGTATGCGGTGGGGCAGCAGGCTGCCAGATCAGGTTGGGCCCGCTTCTGCGTGGCCCTAGGGAAGACTGGTTGGGACAGGTGAGGATACATGGTCAGAAAAATGTGAGGTGAAGGGCAGCAGAGCAGGTGCGGGCCTGGGAACTGCTGTCCTCATGGGGGAGATCTAAGGGGGCAGAGGAGAACATGGGGTAAGGGCAGTTCGTGGACCAGTATGATGCAATGTTCAAAGGAGATGAACAGGAGTGATTATAGGCTGGAGACAAGTTTGTGTGAACTCTGGGGTCTGGGAGATGTGGGGCCACATTATACTTCTTAGAGGGTCAGAGGTGGGACAGGAAGCATCAGCATACTGACCAGGTCTGCCAGATTCCTCTGCTCACCCACTGGTCCTGGTGACTGCCTGGGGATCAGCAGCTCTGGAGGAGCAGCAGGGATCAGGCCTAGAGGCTCTTAGAAACCGTGGGATCCAACTTCCTCAGTTACAGGTGAGGAAAGTGAAATCCAGCTCAGGAAAGGCACTTGTCCTAGGATCCAAGGGGTCTGTTAGGGGCAGAGCTGGGACTGGAAGCCAGGTCTAAGCCACCTCCTCATTGGAATGGAATCAACATAATTGACATACGTACAGACAATTCTTGCTTTCCCTAAGTGGACCATTCAGCAGACCTCTACGTAAAAACTTAATTCGAATTTGCCAGGGCCTGGGGAAGGGAGGGAGGGAGCAGGAAGAGGGGGGGCACGTATAGGTGGAGGGAGAATACAGTTCAAGGACACATGGGGGGGCCAGATACAAAGAAGCAAGAGCAGCATGAGGAAACATGGGGGCCTTGGCCAGTCACATGTAGGGGCTAGTGGAAGAATGGGGGACAAACACAGACACAGACAGGAGAGGGTAGGTTACTAGCATGGTTGGAGCTGGCAAAGATCTCTCCTATGATTCCTATTGAAGATGTCCATGGCCTACCATGTCTCTGTACTTCCGTTATTCTTCTTTCACTTGGAGGATTTTTTTTTATTTTTGTGGTGGGGGGTGGGAGGTCAGGGAGAACCCAGTGGAGGGGCAGGAGTGGAGAGTGAGGGAAGGAGAGGAGAGGTGAAGAGAAACAGAGATAGACAGAGAAACAAAGAGAGAGAATAGTACTGTGCAGTAAATTACAGTTAAGTAAACCACATTGGTGGTTTTTTTGGAATGTAGGTTTCTTTCAGAATTCTTAATGTAAAGTAGAATTTTCATAATTCAAATTTACATAAACCTAGAATAGTCAATACTGAGATTAAACCCTCCTTTCTTGCCTGAATCATTCTTGGGGTCAGCAGCTCCTTTGCTCATGGCCTACTGGACCAGCTCACTGGACGGACTGTGAGGCAGGAGATGAAGAGGAGATTCTGGAGGCGTTTCTCCATGCCCCCCCTCCTGTCTCTCTCATACCCCTCTTCCCACTGTGTCCCTTCTATCTTGGGATGTACATGTCTCGAATGTTTTCTTATATAAATATTTGTGACTGTGTCTGTCTACATATCTGCACTGAATGAATATTGTATGTCCAAGGTCAAGTGATTGGCAGATCTGGGGAACTTTGTTGGGAAGGCAGTTTAGCAATAGTGGATAGAGTGTTGGGCTTGGAGTCAAGATAGTTCTGAGTTCAAATTCTGCATTCAACATTTAGTAATTGTGTGACCAAGGTCAAATGGTTTAACTTTTCTGAGCCTAAATTACTCATCTGTAAAATGGGAGTAGCAAAGAGATGATATGTGTAAAGTGCCCTGCAAAGCTTTTTTGTTGTTTAGTTGTTTTCTAGTCGTGTCTGACTTTTTGTGACCCCATTTGGAGTTTTCTTGGCAGAGACACAGGAGTGGTTTGTCATTTCCTTCTGCAGTTCATTTTTACAGAAGAAGAAACTGAGACAAACAGGGTTAGGGGACTTGCCCAGGGTCACAGAGCTAAGTGTCTGAAGCTAGGTTTGAACTCAGGAAGATGAGCCTTCCTGACTCCAGGCTTGGCATTCTATCCACTGCACCACCCAGTTGCCCATGCAAACCTTTTACCAATATATAAATGCGAAGTGTTATTCTTTGTGCATCTGTGATTGTGCATGTGTGAATCTGTGTGTCTTTGGGGCTGAGACATGTGCTCCTGTGTCTGTGTGTATATAAGAGTTTGCATTTCTGTAGGGCTTTTAGGTTCACAAAACCCTTTTTCTTCAAAACAACCTTTGAGGTAGGTAGTGAAGTTATTTATATTTCCTTTTTACGGGTGAGAAACTTGAACCTTAGAGATGAAAATCTGCTCCTTCTTAGAAGAGTAAACATTCCCTCTGAAATGCCCCTGAGAAGTGGCCATTCAGTCCCTTCTTGAACTGCTCCACTGCACTGGATGATGGGTGAGGTCACCCAGGCTGTGGAAGGGCATTTTTAATTGTCGGGAGAGAGGAGACAAACTTGTGAGTGGACACCCAGAAAAAAGAGGAAAACAGACAGCAAAAACAGGAGAGAAAGAGGAGACAGAGACAGGTCGAAAGGAGACAGAGTGAGAAACAGAAAGGGAGAGAAAAAAAAGACCGAGTGAAGATTAATAATAATGATAGCTAATGTTAAGATTTATATACCAGTTTATAGTTTATAAGGCTTTACATGTCTTTGTTGATCCTTATAACAACCTTTTGAGGTAGGTGCTATAATCCCCATTTTATAGATGTGCAAGCTGAGGCCAGTGATAGAAAGGGAGGAAAGGAAACAAGGACTGTATCTACTTGGCTCAGACCAGAACTCCTTGAGGCACAGGGCTGAGTCTCCCTCTCAGGCTGGGGATTCTTGAGGGCAGAAATTCCATTTTTCCCTCAGGCTGGTGACACCATTCTCTCCCATAATCTATAGCATAAAGACAGGGGAGAGCTAGGGTTGGGGAGGTATCACACCTCTGGATAGTGAAAAGCAGATAAGAGGGGAACAATCAGAGTGGGAAGAAGGGAGAGGGGAACACTTGTCCAGCCTTGTCCCTCTAGATTCTAGTGTATAGGAGGAGGAAGGTGAAGAAGAGGAGGGTGAAGACCACGCCCCCAAAGCTCCCCAGGGCAGCAGCCCCTCCTGTGTTGCATAGGTCTTGGTTACAGCATGAGACAGGCCGAGTCAGACCGATGCCATCCACATCTGAGGGTACACACTTCTGGGCACATGCCTTTGTGACTGTAGCATCTCCCAAGAACGGGTACACTGCAATGGGGGCAGAGAATAACAGGCAAGTCAGGAGGCCCCCCAGCCCAAACATCAAAGGCCCATTCCCTAATGTATTCCCCTCTGCTCATACAAGGCTGTGACCACCAAACCCCAGCTCAAAAACCCCCCTTCTCCAGGAAGTCACTTAACCCCAATTGCCTAAAAAAAAAAGAAAGGAAAAAAAAAAACAAAGGGGAGGGAAAACAAAATTCTATCTAGTGAGCTGAACCTTCTCTTTGACTTCCCATGGTAAAATTAGAGATGTGTTTTTATTCAAATGTTGCTCAGTTATATCCTACTTTTTGTGACCCCATTTAGGGTTTTCTTGGCAGAGACACTGAAGTGGTTTGTCATTTCCTTCTCTAGCTCATTTTACAGATGAGGAAACTGAGGCAAACAGGGTTAAATGACTTGACTAGAGTCACATAGCTAATAAGTGTCTGTGGCTGGATTTGAACTCAGGGCTTCCTGACACCAGGCCTATCTGCTGTGCCACCTAGGCTGCCTTTTTCCTCAAATAATCTTATAAGATTTAGAGCTGGAGAGGGACCTTATAGGTGGCTAGTCCAAACCTCTCATTTTACAGATAAGGAAACTGAGGCTTAGGGAAGAAATTGACTTGCCCAAGGTCAAACATAGAGTAAGTAGCAGAGCCTGGATTCAAACCCTGGTCCTTGGACTCCAAATCCTGCTTTCCTTACATATAACACTGATATTTAGTGAAATAACTTGAAAATATTTGAATTATAATGGGGCTTGGCCCCTGGGTGTATCAGTAGCTCCATAGAAGAATGGCCCTTAAAGATGGTAAGCCTAGAGTCAACAGACCTGGGTTCAGATCCTGACCTTGACCTTGACCCTTACTAGCTGTGTGATCCTGGGCAAGTTCCATCCTCTCTCCAAGTTTCAGTTTCATCTGTAAAACATGGGTAGTAGTTCTTCAACTACCTAAACTCCCAATGTTGTAAGAAAAGTACTCTGGGAACAAGCCAGTGGTCTCAACATGTTGGGTTTTCAATAGTAGTTATGTTTAAAGCTGGCATCTCCTCTCTTTTGGCCACCAGCCCTCTCCCTATTTAGCTTGTTAGATTGGAAATTTTTAAAAATGGAAATGCATTTTAAATTTTATAATAGAAGTCTGTGACAAGAAGAATTCATATTTCTATAGCATTAAATTTTTAAAAAGTATTTTCCTCATGAGAACTTTGTGAGGTAAATAAGTCTCTCCTCTCTGATCCATTTCCCATCTCTGGAAAATAGCGGGTTGAACTATTAATAGTTCTTAAAGTGGGTTCTGGGGACCCCCTTTCAGTGACCCTTTCTGTGAGGTCAAAACTATTTTCATTACAATGCTGAGACATTTTAATTATAAATTCAGTAAATATTGATAGATATAAACTATGTAAACAAAAGCTCTTTGGAAGATTCTCAAATTTTAATCATGTAAAGAGGACCTGAGATTAAAAAAAAATTTGAGAACCACTGCACTAGGTGATCTCCAAGTCCCATATAGGCTTTTTTACGTGTAGCTAGACAGCGTAAGTAATAGTATTCCCATTTTGTATCTGAAGATAATAATGAAATTGACCAGCTCTCTCAATAACCTTCTGTGGCTCCCTATGACTTATAGGATAAACTAAAAATTATTCATCTTGTCATTTAAGACTACATTTTGACTCCAATCTGGATTTCAGGTTTTATTTCATGTTTAGTTCTGTTCATGCACTCTGTTTTATAGCAAAGCTGTAACTATAGCTATTTCCTCATCTTCTCCTGTCTTCTCTTGTTTCCGCTCATTCCTAGACTTCTCTCTTTATCACTGCCGGCAGACATCTGCCTCCACGTGACACCATCTCTAGGAAAGCTTCCCTGAGCCCTCCCCCTGAGGGAAGATATTTCTCCATCCTTAGATTTCCCCAGGGTCCTGTGTTTCTTTTCTGCCCTGGTTCTGTTCCACAGTCATAGGATCCTAGTTTTAGAAAGAAGGGACCTTAGAAGTCATGCAGTTTAATGCCATCATTTTAACAGCATCACTTCACGGAAAGGGTGGTGGATTTGAAGTCACAGGACCTGGATTCAGATTCTGGCTCCATCATTTCCTTCCAGTGTGACCTTGGGCAAGTTATTCTCTGAGCCTCCATTCCTCACCTGTAAAGTGAAGGCGCTGGTCCACTTTAAGGTCCCAGCTCTAAGTCTATGAAACTGAGACCAGACAGGCTAAGTGATATCCTTATTTTTGTTTTTTCTCTCTTCTCACCTTAATGCCTGCAACCCAGAACCCCTAGTAAGCCAGAGACTATACTTTTTTTTAAGGTCATGGGATTTAGAACTGGAAAGGGATTTTAGAGACCATTTGGTCTAATCTTTCCATTTTACAGGTGGAGAAACTGAGGCCCAGGGACATGAAAGGACTTGCCCTAAGTCACATGGGTAGTAAGAAATAGAGCTAGAATTCAGGCACAGGTCCTCTGATCTCAAGTCTGTTATAGCACTTAATAAATATTTGTTGAGTTTCCATTTTTATAGATGAGGTAACTGAGGACCCAAGGCTCTATGTCTTTTTTCAAAAGCACATGGCTTGGGGCAGTTAGGTGGCACAGTGGGTAGAACACCGGTCCTGGAGTCAGGGGGACCTGAGCTCAAATCCAGCCTCAGACACTTATTAGCTGTGTGACCCTGGGAAAATCACTTGGATTGCCTCCAAAAAAAAGGAAAAAGAAAAAAAAGTTAATAAAATGGTGAAGCTAGAATTCCAAGTCATACATTATGACTCCAAGTACAGGTTTCTCTCTACTAACCCCATTGACCTTTATGGAAGGGCTGAAATTACTCTATGGAAATTTTCCTTCCTGCACTGTTTTACTGGCCTTGCCCCAGGTACGTCACGTGAGGTCCCCCTCCTGGAACCCTTGGAACCCGACCTCTTCCCTCACCTTCCTCCAGAGAATACATTGTTGTCTTGCACATGGTCTCATCGGGGGCACAGTCCGCAATGGTGGTGCACTCAGAGACGTTGGTGGGCTGCTGGCAGCTGTAACATTTCAGGGCCCAGGCTACTTGGGGGGAAGGAAGAAAGAAGAATGGTTAGGCAGTGGCTTCTCAACCCTCTGGATCTTCCTCTCAGACCCAAGCCTGATGGGGTTGATATGCTCCCTGCCCACAGAGAGCCCTTGACCTAAAGGAGGAAGGGGGTGGGATAAGGATGAGGCCCCTGCCCTCGGAGACCTCCCAGACTTTGGAGAGTGATATGCCTCTTATCCTCTGGGAGCCCCCCACCCCTGCTCTCTGGGAGCCACCCATTCCTTTGGAAAGGACCCCCAGCCAACATTAGGTTGTGTCCACACTGGCAATCCAGGAACCAGGGTTCTAGTCCTGGTTCTGTCACTGGTTCCTTTTGTCATCTGGGGATGGGTCCTTTCATCTCTATAAGCCTAAGAATTCCCCTGCAAGAAATGGGGAGGGGGAAGGTGTGGAGCCAGATGCTTTCTAAGACCCCTCCTAACAACCATCTAGAACACAGGGCTCCTGGATGCCGGAGTTGGGGTGAGGTTAAGGAGAAGGGGGGAGTTATAGAAAGAGGGAAATGAGACAGCTGTCCTTTGTCTTTGGGGGCAAGGACTCTGAAGTGGAGCTGTATTGTGTAAACAGGTTGAAGGTAACATTCCAAGAATAGCCTGTACCCTTCTCTCCGTACATTCCCTCCCCTTACCTCCTTCAAACCTGATCCAGCCTCAGTACATCCCCTCTAACCAACCATCAGGCTTAGAGACCCAACCAGATCTCCTGCCCACCTCATGTATGACCTGTGTGAGTCACTATTCTCTCTGGTTAACCCCTTTTTTTCCCAGGGAAAGGGAAATTTTTTTGGTTCTGGACCCAGTCCCGATGCACCTCCCTTCTCTCGCCATCCCTCTGGTGCAGATAGTTAGACCTAGGAGGGATCTCTGAAGGGAACTAATCCAACTCCATTTTACAAATGAGAAAATAGAGACCCAGAAAGGGAAAAGGACTTGCCTTTGGTCACAGAGTGAGTCAGAGGCAGCCAGAGGGACCTTGCACTCATCTTTGACTCTCCCCCACTGTCCTATTTAATAAGTTGCCCAGCTTTGTTAATTCTGTATTGCAGTGTTTTTGGTAACTGTCCCATATTCTCCACTCCCACTTCTACCACCTAGTAAAGGCTTCTTTGTCACCTCTTACTTGAACTATTGGATTCTCCTGACCCGACTCCCCACGTTCTCCCCTCCAAGCCATGATGTACACTACTAGTCAGTCTCTTCTTCTCAAATGCCATCAATAGCTCCCTATTACCTTTTGGGCTAAAGTTAAAACTAATCAGCCTCTCCCTTGTCTGATCTCAACCTACCTTTCACTTCATCTCACCCTGCTCCCCCTCACACAGGATGTGATTCTCGTGAGCCTCCCCTTTCTCTCTCCACATTTCTCTGTGTCTAGCATAAGTTCTAGGCTCAGTAAGTATAAATTTATCTTCATCTTTCTTTATCTTTTTATATCTTCATCTGATAGGAGGCATACAGCACTGCAGTCTTTCCCTCCCTCTCTCCCTTCCTTTTTCATTCTTGTCCCCATTTCATCTTTTTTATTTACCTCTATCATCTCCATATCTCTCTATACCTCCATTTTTAAAATAACTATCCTTTATCCCTTTGCCTCTGCTAGGTCTCTGTCTCTGTCTTTGTCTCCAGCTCTGTAGGAGACAGGTGGGCTAAGGATATCGTGAGTGCTGGAAGAGAGAGAATGGCAGATAAATGAGTAAGGTCTTCCTATTACTCTCTTACTCTCTCTGTCTCTCTCTGTGTCTCTCTCTCACTTTCTTAGCTTGCCCAGGTCTTGTTGGGGAGGTCCTTGTGAATGAAAAGAATCTTTCATTTAAACCTATTCTGGACTCCACTCCTTGGCCTCCCATTTGCTTTTGAGCCCTCCTCATTCTCCCCTCTCCCCTTTTCATTCAATCTTAGCCCCCATCCCCATCTCACCAAGCTCCCCGAATGCAGCAGTAGTCACAGCCAGTAGTACCAGCCTTGATGCCCACATAGTCTCCTTTGTTGTGCCCAGCATCTCCCAGGCACCTGTAATTTTGGCTTATCCAGGGAGAGGAGGAGGAGGAGGTGGAGGAGAAGGAGGAGAGTGGAGTAGAGGAACCTGTTCTATAAGAGGATTAGCCTCATCTAATTTCTAGGACCTCCCTCTTTCCCTTCCTCTATCTCTCTTTTTATTCAAGGGGCTGCTCGAGTTGGGCTGGGCTGAAGGCTGGCGGCCAGACCCTTTGGGCTTGGCATCTTGCCAAAATGGTGACCACTTACCTCATCTAAGAGGTCCAGCACTGGTAACTGCATTCCTGAAGCTGTTCTGTCTATAGCTCAAGGGAGTTCAGTAAAGATTTATTAAGGGCAACTTTGCATGAATTGTTGTGTGGGTTCCTGGCATACAAAGGCAAAAATGAAGTGGTCCCTGCCCACAAGGTCCAGATAGAATGTGCTGCCTCAAAAAGTGGTAGGTTCCCCTTCACTGGGGGGTCTTCAAGCAGAGGATGAATGCCCACTGGTCAGGGATACTGCAGAGGGGAGGAATTCTTAGTCAGGGCCTCGGTCTAGATGGCTTCAGAGGTCCCTTCCAGCTCTTACACTCAGTGGCTTCTGAGTTTCCATTCTATTGAGGGGATACTAGGATAAGGTGGGTGGTATAATGGAAACAAACAAACAGAAAACAACATTGGATTCAGAGTCAGGAAGACCTGAGTTCAAACTCTGCCTCTGACGATTATTAGCTGTGTGACCAAATGTGGGGGTTGGACTGGTGACCTCTCCCCATTAGCTCTGTGATCCTTAGAGGTCACGACTTCCCAAGTCTCAATGTCAATGAAATTGGGAAAGTAACTGTGGTGTCTGCCTCATGGGGATTTATGAGGGCAAATGAGATAATGAAGGCAAAGTGCTTTGCAAGCCTTAAGCTGTTATGTAAGTGTCAGCTATTGCAAGGTTAATTATTATTGCTGTTATTATCTTTATTATTCTTGGTATTATTAAGCTGAGTAGTGAGGAGCTGTTTTCCTTGTGTTGGGTTATTGTAAGTATTTTTGTTGTCTTTCTCTTCATCTCTCTTTTTTCTTTCTTTTTCTCTTCCTTCTTCCTTCTTTCCTCCCTCCCTCCCATCTTTCTTTCCTTCCTTCCTTCCTTCCTTCCTTCCTTCCTTCCTTCCTTCCTTCCTCCTCCCTCCCTCCCTTCCTTCCTTCCCTCCCTCCCTCCCTCCCTCCCTTCCCTCCCTCCCTCCCTCCCTCCCTTCCCTCCCTCCCTCCCTCCCTCCCTTCCTTCCTTCCTTCCTTCCTTCCTTCCTTCCTTCCTTCCTTCCTTCTTTCCTTCCTTCCGTCCTTCCGTCCTTCCTTCCTTCCTTCCTTCCTTCCTTCCTTCCTTCCTTCCTTCCTTCCCCTCCCTCCCTTTCTTCTTTCCTTCCTTCTTTCCTTCCTTCCTTCTTCTATTTCTCTTTTTCTCTTCCTATTATTTTGTGGCTGAGATGGCTTAACTAAACTTAGGGGAAATTCCAAAGAAGCCCATTTTGTCTGTGTAAGGGAAAATGTCCTTACAATTACAATAGAGTTATCTAAAAGGACAGTTGTCTGTCTTGGAAGGCAGTGAGTTCCTTGTCCCTGGAAAGGCTTGAACTGAGACCTCTCTTATCTTTGTACTTTTGCACAAACTCTACCCTATGGCAGGAACGTGCTCTTCCTTCAGCTCTACCTTTGAGTCCCTAGTTTTCTTTCAAGCTCAGTTCAAATGCCACCTTTTGTAAGGGGCCTTTTCTGGATTCCCCCCACCCCAGCTGCTAGTTCTCCCCAGCAAAATTAGCTTGCATTTCTTTTGTTCACTTTTTAATATACTCATCTGTATAAATCCTACAGAATGTAAGTTCCCTGAGGGCAGGATCTCTTTCATTTTAACCTTAGTATCCTTAGCATCTGGCACGTATAATAGAAGCTTAATAGACGCTTGTTGATTGATAAATTGAGCCTGATTGACTATTTGGGGTGTTGTATATATTTTAGGGATATTATATTTAGGAATTTATGTTCAGATATGGGTTGGCCTAGGTGTTCTCTGATTTGGTGATTCTATGATACAAGAATACCTTACTTTTGCCATGCCCGTGACAAGTATGGCCACTGAGGGTGAGGGAGCAGGGACCTACCTGTTGGCTGGGTGGCTTATTTAGCATTTCCCCTAAGTCCCAGTGATCTTGGACTTGATCTAGACTTGACCTTGGACTACCCAAAATGCCCAGGTTGCCATGACACTGAAGGGAGAATGTTGATAAGAATATATGACTAGATGAGATGGCTCCTCACCCAACCTATGTTCTCTCTCTGGTATTTTCTTGTTTAACATTCCAGGCACCAAGGTACCCTAGGTGATCTGTCCCAGGTGTACTTTGTATATATCTATGTGTGTGTATTTCCTCCTTTGATGGATCATAAGCCTGTTAAGGATAGGAAGTCTTTCACTTTTGTCTTTATATCCTTAGCACCTGGAACAGTGCTTGGCACATAGCAGGTGATGAATAAATGCTTGTTGATCAAGTGGTTTCTCCTCTTTTGTTTCCATCTTACTCTCTCTCTGGCCTCTCTGCTGTCCTCCAAACCACATGCTAAGGTTGACTCTGGGAGCCGGGTTGGCTTTGGGGATGGAGGAGGGCCATCCCAGAAGGCCAGACTCAAAGGGGATTCTTCTCATCGGGGAACCCCTGCCTAATTAGGATCCCACAAGGCACAAACACAAAGGAAAAAGGGATTTAACTAGAAAATGTTTCAATGTATTTAGCATTAGAGTAGGGATTCAAGGGGTCCATGGAGGGATTTCAGGGAGGGAAAAATGACATCTTTATTTTAACTGACCTCTCAGTGATATTTAGGATTTCTTCAGTTATTTTAAAACACTATTCTGAGAAAAAGTCCATAGGCTTTATCAGGCAGCCCAAGGGGTCCATGACACCTAAAAGGTTAAGAACCCCTGTCATAGAGGGATTGGGTTGGCTTGGACCTTGGTGGGCAGTTGTAAGGGAAAGCTTTCCAGAAGAAGAGGAGGTGCACTGAGAGATGACATCTGACATAAAACAACTAGAATGGGGGGGGTAGGAGAGTAAATAAGATGGCAGTGAGTGTCCTGGCCTGGCAGATGATTCCTTTAAGAAATAAATCTGGGAGTCAAGACACTCACTTCAAGAATCCTCAGGTCTCTTATAGAAGGTCCCTTTATCTGCTGGCCCAGGGCCCCCAAGACCCTCCCTAGTTGCCAGCCTGGTTCCCCTTTCTTTCTCTACATCTAAAGCATTTGGGCCTTTATTTGTAACCCCATTGCTTAGTACAGTACTTTGCGCACAGTCGGCACTTAATAAATGTTTGTGGACTGACCGCTGACTGTAAGGTGAATATTCTATACCTTCACGTTCATTGGGTAAGAGGACCTTTATAGGGTGCCCTCTTCTCCCTATTCCTGGGCCTGTTGGGGCCTTAGCAGGGATCTGGGGAGGAGCAGAGATTTGCAGTTCCATTGTCTACCTGAGTCTTACTCAATCCCTTCTATGGGTGATACCTTTATTTGACAAGCTTTGGCCCTCCGAGACACTCCCCTCCCAAGTAGGCACACAATCTCATTTTCTACCTCCCTGAAATCTGCACATTCCAGGGGCATAGCTGATGCTTTCCACCTATTGGCCTTGGGTGTGGAGGATGTAGCTGGGCTCTGGGCTACACCTGGTGAAAGGGAACTGAGTACTAAATCTCAGCCTAAGGCCTCCTCCCTTAATCCCTGTCTGAAACCTGGACTTTCTACCCCTCCCAGCCTTTCACAGTCATTGGCCTGAAGCTGAGGTTAGGGCATCCCAGGGCCAGGTTTAGGGTTCAGTCTTATGGGTGAGGTGGAGGAGGGCATCAATTGAGGTGAGATATTAAAGCAGTGATGAAGACTTGTAGAATCAGAGCTCTATAACTGGAAGGGATTTCAGGCCACCTATCTAACACCAATCCTTCATTGTGTTGAGCAGAGGAAACTGAGTCTCAGGGATCTAAATCAGTTTATTGGAGGAGTGTCAGGCTCCAGGAGTTGTCTGAAGAGACTGAAAAGGTTGCCCAGGAAATGCATAGACCAACTTAGATTTGCAAAAGCTAAATATGGATGACTGCCAAACGGTAGTGGTTCTTTTATGAACAGCGTCAGGGGAGCTGAAGCTCAGGATGGGTTAAGCCTGGCAGTCAATCAGAAAGGCACCAAAATGAGCTTTTAGCATGAAGAAAAGCAAGTGATAGACTGGAAAGCTATTAAGAGTGGCTCATCATCTTGGCTTGCTCTCTCTGCCAAAGAGGATAATCTCTTAGAGATTAGAGAACCATAGAGAATTCAACCCCCAAGTCTTAGATTTAGAGTTGGAAGAGACCTTAGAGGTAATCAACTCTAATCCACTCATTTTTTTCTGAGGCCCAGGGAGGTCAAGTGATTTGCCCAAAGTCACATAAGGAGTAAGTAGGGCGGAGATGGGATTCAAACCCCCAAATCTGACAAATCTGGCTTCAGATCCAGGATATAAGTCGACAGGGCCCTGTGGCCCTCCATTAGAATTGTGGAATTTCAGATCGGGGAAGGACCCCTGTTACCATTTTGTTGTGGAGTCCAACTCATGCTCAAAAAAAAATATCCGTATGGAATTCTTAACCAAACAAGGGATTGTTGTTAGTGTGTTTGTTGTTGTTGACTCTTTGTGATCCTGTGGATCCGAGGGCACCAGGCCCTCTACCTGAGGGGCTCATCCTCCGATGGCAGGCATTTTACTCGTATCCTCGGGGTTTTCATGGTCCGCCATGTCCTTCTCCAGTGGGTCACCTTTTGTCAGAACTCTCCACTAGGATCTGTCTACCTTTGGTAACCCTGCACAACGTAGCTTTTCATTGAGCTGTGTAAGCCTGTCCTCCCTGACAAGACAGTGATCCAGGGATAGCAATCACAAGGGATAAGATAGATACAATACGAAATTGAAAATTTTGCACAAACAAAATCAGTGCAGCTAAGAAGGGAAACCATCAAATACTTACATTGTTTCTGG